TTGCATTCCGGTCGACTTACACGCACAGACAATGGTACCGCCCCCCCCCTCCCTCCTCCCCCCCCCCTCCTATCCCCTCCCCCCCCCCCCCCTCCCCCCCCTCACCCTCCCCGCTACAGAGTTTGTCCTTGCCCAGGTCGAGTGGCCGCTCCGTGAAGCGGTGCTGCACGGGGCATGGGTGGTGCAGGTTGCAGGCTCGACCACTCGCTCACGGCTTGTGGTCATCACGGACTACCATCTGCTGCTGGTCAAGGCCGGACGGGTTGTCAAGTCGTCGCGCAAGCTCGTTGCCCGCTATCCGCTGCTCCAGCTCTCGGCGGCGGCAGCAGATCTTTCGGCCGGCCAGCTCAAGCTGGACTTTGTCAAGCCGGGCGAGCTGGTCCTGGCCGGCGTGCCCGGCGCCATTACCCAGGCTCTTGTCGCCCGCTACCGCCTGCTCACCTGGGGCTGGCCGGCAGACCTAACGGTGGCCTTTGACGACTTTGCCTGGGCCGCGCCGCCGCTGGATCCCCCCCCGCTTCCCGCACCCTCGCCCGGTGGCAACATCCTCACGGCCTACCGCTCCGTCGCCGCCCTCCAGGGCTGGTCGGCTTTCTCGCCCGATCTTGACCGCTTCCTAGCGCAGATTGTCGACGGACCGTGGGCGCGCTCGCTTCTTCTCTCGGAAGTCCCCAACGTTTCGTCGTCCAAGAAGGTCTCGCTCAACCCGCTCGCCCTCGCCCTCAAGTTCAACCGCTACTTTGACCGCCTCGAGCTGACCGACGTCTCACGCCCTCGCATCCTCGGCCTCCTCGCCTTTGCGCTCGCTTCCAACACCACCCTCACCCAGCTGGTCGTCTCCAACTGTGGCGCCCGCACCGGCATCGACAAGCTCACCGCCGGCCTGCTGGCCAATCCGGGCCCGGCCTCGCTCGCCCTCCTTGATCTCTCCTTCAATCCGCTCAAGGACAAGGGCGTGGCTGCCCTCGCACCGGCGCTGGACACACTGCCGTTCCTCACCACCCTCAACCTCAAGGCCACGTCCATGACTGGCGACGGCCTCGCCGCCCTCCTCGCCTCGCGCCCACCGGACTCGCCGCTTCACGCCATCACGGCTCTCGACATTTCCAGCAACCGCCTCGAGGCCACCGGCTCGTCGGCGCTTGGCGCTTGGCTCGCCGGTCATCGCGTTGTCCGCCTGCAGAGCCTGGGCCTTGGCAGCACCGACCTGCACCTCGGGCTGCTGCTGCAAGCCATGGGCATGCGCGTGGCCACCGTCATGCCACCGGCCGCTGTCCTCTCCACTCTCACCGCTCTCGACCTCTCGGGCCTCGACATGGACGGCGACACTATTGTCCGCGCTGTCACCTTTCTCTCTGCCCTCTCCGCCCTCGCTGACCTCAACCTCTCATCGATGCGGGTCGAGCCGGCGTACCTCGCTCGCCTTGTGGCGGCTTTTGGCTCGGCATCAGCCTCCCACGACGGCAAGTGCAAGCTCGCCCTTGCCGACCTCGATCTCTCTGCCGGGAACGCGCCGCTTTTCCTGGGCTCGTTTGGCTCGTTTACCTCGCTCCACACACTTGTCCTCGACGACTTGACGGCACCGCCGCCTGTTCTCCTCCTCCTCCTCAATGCGCTCAAGCCGTTTGCTACCAGCCTGCGGACTCTCTCGCTCGATCGGGTGTTCAAGACCAAGTCGCGTGATGTCCCGCAAGTCGTCATGAACCTTGCGGCGCTCATGGCGACCGGCGCGTACTCGGAAGTGAGCTTGGTAGGCGCCGGATCCCGCCGACTCGGCGCTCACGGGGCCATTCTCCTCGACGCGCTCGCCACCCAGTCGTTTGCAACCCTCCGCGCCCTGGACGTCTCTTACAACCGGATGGGCAGCGCGCTGGTCGCTCCGCTGGTCTTGCTTCTTGCCGACAACACTACTCTTGTCTCGCTTAGCTTTGACGGCAATGGGCTCTCCCTCGACGAGTTTACCCTGGTCACGGACGCGCTTGCGTCGGCCTCGGCGCTTGTCGAGGCCGTCATTCCGGTCCGCGACATCAAAGTCATGCGCGCCAAGGTTGGCGTCGAGACCAAGCTCGCCATTGCCCTCCTTGTCAAGCGCATCAAGGAGACGCTCGCGCACAACGCTGCTGCCGCCGCTGCCGCCGCCGCCACCGCGGCTGCTGTCGCCACCAGCTCCGACGCGAGCTTGAACGAGTTGAACTCGTCACTGGGCACCAGCCTTGCCGGCGACGGCCTTGAGCTCCCTGACTCGCAGCCGCTGAGGCTGCGGACAGGCTCGCGGTCGCGAACTCTCCTTTTGGAGCGGCGGGCCTCGCGGGTCCGATTGTCCATCGCGTCCGCGGCGTCGCTTGACGACATTGAGGCCGCGCTTGATGACATCGAGGCCGGTATCGGCGGTCCTGCCCCGGGCCACCACCCCCGCACCCGTTCGCGCCTTGCGTCGCGGACCTTTGACTCGTCGACGTCGTCGACCTCGTCGGATTATTCGGGCTACTCGCGGTCAGCTCCACAACCATCACCGACCGACACGCCGTGCTCCGACGCCGAGCCAGAGCCAAACGCCGCTAGCGCCGACGCGCCATCACTGGCATCGGCAGCGCGAAACCGGCCGCCGCCGCCGCCGGTGCCGACGACCGACCCACGTCGGCGTGGCCGGCCGCCGCCGCCCGCCGTACCGACCGCCACTGACCGACGAATTCCGACTCTGCCGCTGCCGCGAAGGCCGAAAAAGACCAAAAAGACCGCCCCCGCCATTGCCTGCACCCGTCGCCGCGGCAGCACGCCGCCAGAGCCTGGGGTGGAAGCAGCGCCGGCATCAAAGCCGGCTCTCGCCCGCCGGCCGCCCCCCCAACACCCGACCCGCAAGAAAAAAGAGGGTTTCTTCCCGCGTCTGCACCTGCGCCTGTTCCTGCACCTGCACCGCCGCCGACAACCTCGCGGCGAGCCACGCTTGTCAAGCCACCGACATCGTCGGCAGACGCTACCCGTGTTCCGGCCAAGACCAAGGCGCGGCGATCGACACTGGTTAAGCCGCCGTCGTCGGCGGCGATCGCGGCCGCAGGCGGCTGTGGCGCGCCGCCGCCCAAGCCGCCGCCGCCGGCCGCCGCCCTTCTTGCTGCCCTGCCGGCAGTCGAGCCCGACTCTGACTCTGATGAGCCCGAGGCCGAGGCCGAGTTTACGCCGACCGACTACCCGCGAGCATCTGTTGTCTGCTCGTCCATCGAGCGGCTGCTTTCCGAGATCAACGTCTCGGTCGATGATGGCGGGTACGAGAGTGACCAAGGTGACGACCCCTTGCTTCATCTGCTGAACGCACTCTGATCGGAATAAAAGCTACGGAAAGACCGAGTCGGCCACAAACCGCAGCAGACGTGCGGCGTAGCCCTCGGGCGGGAGAGCGGAGATGTCGACGGTCCGCGAGGCGTGGCGGAGCTTCTTCAGCGAGCGCTCGACCTTTTTCGACACGTTGTACCGCTGGAAGAGGTCGATGATGCCCAGCGCGTACACGTATTCGCCGTCTGTCGAGCTCAGCACCCACAGCGGGTCGCCAAGCAAGTCGCGGGCCGGGCGTTGCGGCCCGTCGGGCGTGACCCGCGAGACGCCAACCAGCACCGAGTAGTCCATGAGGTTGTGGGCGGTGAGGAGGCGGGCGTCACTCTCCAGCTGGCGAAGCAGCCGCCGCCTTGCGCGGGCGCTGATGGCGAGGCCTGCTGGAAAGTCAACAGCAAAGTCGTTGTCCATCAGCAAACCTGACGACTTGCCCGTGTTGGCGGCGTCCAGCTTGGAGCCTGACTCGGGCGAGCCGGCGGCGCTCGAGCCGGGCGAGAGAGCGGCGGTGCGGCCAGACAGAAGCCCCAGGACCGGAGTGGTTGGCGTCGTCGCGGCCAGCGGCGACGGCTCTGGACCCGAGGCCGAGTGCAGCGACGAGGCACGGCCGGCAGACATGCGATTGACGGTCGAGCCCTTCAGATCGTAGACGGCATCGTGCTTGACATCACCGAGCACGTTGCCCATGACCATGAGGTAAACGGTCTCAAACTGGGTAACGTGAAGCGCGTAGAGGCCGAGGATGGGGCAGAGGAGCGTGGACTTGTTCATCGTCCGGTGCAAGTAGTACTCGGGCAAGAGTTGGAGGAGAACGGCGACTTCCTTCGACGGCATGGTTTTGACCATGAACCGGGCATCAGCCGAGAAGCAGAAGAACGAGCCGGAGCGGGCAGCCGAGAACGAGGCCTTGATGCGGCCGGCGCGGTAGAGGTCGGGCGAGATGACGCGGGCAATCTCTGCGGCCGAGACCGAGCACACGCCGCGGATGGCCTCAAACAGATCTGCGGCATAGACGGTGATGTGGTGGCGCGACTCGCCCGATGGCGGTGCCTTGCCGGTTGGCGAAGCGTCAAAGGTGTCAAACGCACCCGACATGGCCGAGTCGGTGATCGAGCCGACGTCGTCGGTGTCGTGGAGGGACGAGGTAACGCCTGCGTTGCGGAACTTGAACTTGAACGAGTACCTTGTCTTAACCTCGGCAAGTTTGCGGAGCTCGGTGAGCGGCGCGGTGCGTATAAATTCCTGCGTCTCACGGACCTTGGCATCGTAGAGGTTTTGACAGACACCAGAGAGCATGCAGAGGAGCATCTCGACCCGGAACTCGGAGCCAAGACCCCAACCGCGGACTTCGTTGGGATCGACAAGCGTGGGGGTGCGGAGGCGGATCTTGGATGAGCTGACGGGCGAGACGGAGCCGTAGCGCATGGCCGGCTCGTCGCCGAACGGGGAGAGAAGGGCAGTGTACGGGGTGGTGACTCGCGGCAGGCCGGAGCCAGGAGCGTCACCCTGGATGGAGACAATGCCGGTGAGCGTGTCCCAATCGGGTGCGTCGACGGTAGCCAGCTCATCGTAGCCGGTTTGCGGCGGGAAGAAGCGGCGGCAGCATGGCAGGCGCGAGCAGAGGACGCGGCGGACCGAAGGCTCGAGCATGCGCACAAAGCAGATGAGGACGGCCTGGCCCGAGTACATGGCGGCAGTGAGAAGGCGGAGGAGGTGCGGTTGCTGGGCATCGGCGCCGTAGATGGCCGAGTACGTGTGGCGCCAGATGAGCGGCGGGAGCCAGCAGACGACAAAGACAAGGACGTACCAGGCGTGGTGCTTGAGGAGCTGAGCCCGGCGCGAGCGGGCAAAGATGAGCTGGCCCTTGAGGCGCCAGGCCACAAGGTAGACAAGGGTGTAGAAGCCAAAGCCGCCATATATGACGATGAGAATGTCGGTGTACCAGGCGGCGACCGAGTGGATGGCGACCCAGCAGGTGAGATCTCCCGAGACGGTAAAGTGATGGTTGGCGAGGACGGCAGCGACGCCGATGAGCGACATGAAGAGGACATAAGCGTGGTAGAACTTCATCGAGGACTTTGTGGAGATGAGTGGCGCCTTGAGCTCACGATAAAAGTTGAAGACCCACACAAAGTTGTACCCGCCGGTGGTCACGCCCCAGAACTCGCCGTAGATAGCGGCGGAGACGCACGAGTCTGCGATGAGATGAAACGAGTGGTCGTAGAGGCCCGGCCGGGCAACCGGCGAGCGAGCAAGCCATGCCACCGATGAGAGAAAGAACTTGAGCGAGAAGGCGGCGTCGGCGACCAGGTTCCAGAAGATGATGGACGACGGGTGCTTGCGGAGGGCAGGGATGGATGCGTAGAGCGAGAAGGAGAGGGTGCAGAGAACGAGGGCCAGCGACGAAGTCACCAGGTACACATACACCGTCGAGTCGAAATCCTGCACATACTGCGCCACAAGCTCCTCCCTACTGGTCATGTCGCTTCCCCGCAGACGTCCGTCCACCTGTCGATGCGCGCCGAGCGTGTGCGCCGAGCGTGTGCGCCGAGCGTGTGCTGGTGTGCGTGGGGAGGGGAAGGGGGGGAGGGGGAGGGGGGGTAGGGTAGGTAGGGAGGGAGTGAGGGCAAGGAGTGCAGTGTGAGTGAATGTGGGTGGTGGTGGTGGGGGTGGTGGTGGTGGCCTTCGGGTGAGGTCGGCTCGTGGTGTGAGTCACGCGGCTTTGTGGCGCATGTGAGCTGTGGCTGGGCGATGGAAGGGCGATTGGGGGGGGGGATGGAGCGGGGATTGGAGGAAATGGAATGGAGTGGTAACGAGGATATGGAGGGGGATACAGGGGCAGGGAGGGTAGCGGGAGGACGGGAGCATGTATTGATGTATTATTGAGGGGGGATGGGGGATCAGGATGCGGGAGAGGGGGGGGGGAGGGGGGGGGAGGGGGAGCTTACCATGTCATTGTCCGGGAAGGGGTGTGGATTCTGATGACTTTCTTTCGATGCCAGGTCATGGGCATGGTCACATCGATTGCCGCTGACCACCATCGATTGCCGCTGACCGCCATCGATTGCTATTGAACGCCATTGATTGGTCGCCATTGGACGCACGCCATCGCTTCGCTGTCGTTCCCGCCACGCCGTCTCCTCCTCTCACGCTCACTGCCTCACTCCATACCGCCCCCCCTCCCCCCCCTCCCCTCCCCCTCCCCCCTCCCCCACTCCCACCAATGGCTGCCATCCGCCCGGGACCCCCTCCGGTGGCTGCTGCTCCTTCGCCACCGACGCCAGCCACTGCACCTCCTACGCCTCCCGCCCCAACCGCCGACCCCAGCCGACGTCCGGCGCCTACCTCTCCGCCCGCATCTCCAACTCCGTCTCTGTCTCTGTCTCCGGCCCTGTCTCCGGCTCCTGCCAGCGAAGGCCAGCCAGCGAGAGCAGAGCCAGGCTCCGATGCCACTGCTGCTGCCGCCGCGATGCGCCCGATCTCGCCGCCAGCCGCCAGCCGCGTCCCGGCTCCAGCCGCAGCCAGCATGAGCCCGATGCCGCAGGCGATGGATGCGAAAGGCGTTGACGCTGTTGCCGAGGCCTCCTTTCGGGCCATGTTCAACTTGTCGGCGAGCGTGCCCGAGCTGGCTCGCCCGATGGAAGTGCGAGCCGGCAGCGATGCCGACGCGGACGACCCGGGAGATGCCGACGACAAGCGGTCAGCGCTTGCAGGTGCGTACTACGCCCGCCGCGCCATTTTTGCGGCCTACTACTCGACGCCGGGCTTTTGTCTAGATGGGCCAGGAGGCTTCCGGAGGTCGGCAAGTGCTGCGGTGTCGACGCAGCATGCCGGCGCAGTGGTGGTCGCGCTTCCGGCGCAGCACCGCCGGCGCAAGCTGCGTGATCCGGATGCGGCAGCGAACAACGGGCAGGCGTCGGCGCTGGCCAAGGTTGGCACGCCGTTTGCCGGCTCGCCGGCTGACCCCATCGGCGGCCTTGGCGCGCAGTGGCTCGTGAGCGCTCCGCTCAAGCCGTTTGGCGTGGCGATCGGCGAGGGCGGGTCGGGCAGGCCGGTGCGAATGCGGACGCCGCGCTCGCGCGGCTGGCGCGCTGGATGGGGCCGCACGGGTGCAGTGGTTCGCCGCAAGGTTGAGCGCCTAGTCTCCGAGTGCAAGGCCATGGGCGGCATTGTGTTTGACGACCCCGAGTTCTCGCCGGCCAACGTGCTGGCCACGATTTCGCGGAGCCCACCGCCAACGGCCCGGGTCGAGGCACTCTACCCGGGCGCGTCGATGTTTGTTGATCCTGTGGTGCCAGGCGATGTGGTTCCGGGGCTGCTGTCAACGACGTACCTGCTCGGCGCGGCAGCGGCGGTCGGCGCGGTCGGCATGCTGCATCCGCTGTTTGTTGCGTTCTCCACCACATCGTCGATCTACGGGGTGCGTCTGTTCAAGAACTGCCGGTGGGTGTACGTCGTGGTCGATGGGAGCGTGCCAATTAACGACGCTGGGGCGCCGCTCTTCTCGCGCGCAGCAGACTCGCGCGAGCTCTGGGTAATGATTCTGGAAAAGGCGTACGCCAAGCTGCACGGCTCATACGACGCCATTGACCGCGGAACCGAGAAAACTGCGCTGGTCGATCTCACCGGCGGCATTCCACTCGACATCCGGCTCGACAAGGGCCCGGGTCACGACGCCATCATGTCAGGCACATTTTGGCCGCAGCTCGTCGAGCTCGTCTCGGCACCGACCACCGTCGTGGCGGCGTACTTGGTCAACGAAGCCGTGGTCGCCGCCGCGACCGAATCGTCGGAGAGCGAACCGGCCGCCGCCGGCGACCTCCTCCCGTCGCGGCTGGGCCTACTGCAGGGCCACGCGTACCCAGTCATTGGCGTCAGCTCCGAGGACGGAGTCGGCGGCGGCGCCGCGCGGTGGGTCAAACTCGCCAATCCGTGGGGCTCGCCGTCGCTCTCGCGATTCACTGCCGGGCGTGACGACCCGCCGCGGCCGCGCGGGGCTCCCCACGAGGACGGCATCTTCTACATGCCGCTAGCCCATTTTACTCAGTACTTTACAGGGCTCGACGTGTGCAAGATCCCACCGGCGTCATACACGCCGCACACGGTCAAAGGCGTGCTCTCTGCGGCCGATGCTGCCGACGGCGGCCGCCGGGTCCGCGACAAGTGCGCGCAGTATTGGATCCAGGTGTCCGGACTTGCGTCTGCGAGTGCAAGCGATAGCGACGCCGACGCCGACGCCGACGCTGACGCTGACGATGACACCATCCACCTCCTGCTGGTGCTCTCGCAGCCCGACTCGCGGCTTGTCGCCGGCTCCGAAGTCGGCTATCCCGACGCGCTCGGCCTGCAGTTGGTTCTCGCCCACCGTTCCGACGAGAGTACTACCCGGACCCGGCTGATCGCCGGCGATGGCCGTAGCGTCGCCGGACCCAAGTACCAGAAGACCCGCGATGTCGGCCTCGAAGCGCGTGTGTCGCGGCGGGCGCTGGTGGCGCCGGGTGCGCAGCTTGTTGTCGTCGTCTCGACATGGGAGCCCGGCGTCGAGCTCAGCTACGCGCTCCGGGTGTATGTCTCGGAGCCATCCAAGCTGTTGCGGCTCGCGCCAGCAGCGCCTGCGGCGACAGACCGTGACGCCGGCAGCAGTAGCGCTTCCGGCGAGAGCGCGGCTGACGAGCACGAGAACTACGACGACAGTGGCTCGCAGACTGACGGGTCACTGCGGTAGGTGGCCTGGCGGCTGCCAACCACCTGCTAAAGGTCGCTTGTTTTTACAGCCACACTCATGCACGCTCACTTACTGGAGGTAGCCGTCCTCCGAAGCGGCCAGGGTACGGCCGGAGGTCTTGGCGTCGACAAACAGGTCGTTGGTCTCCTCGATGTCGTCCATGTCGACGGTCTCGTGGCCGTTAATGCCGGCGAGGATGGAGGATGGGGTGAGGAGCTGGACGGCGTAGCGGAGCGAGGTGGAGACACCGATGTCGGCGAGCTTATCGATGGCATCGTCAGCAAAGCTGAGGCCCTCGACCCGGGCGCGGACGGCGAGGATCTGGGCGACATCGTCCTTGCCGTAGGGCAGGGTGGGGATGATCATGAGGCGGTCGAGAAGGTCGACGGGGATGCCGTGCGGGGCGGCGACGTTGGTGCCGCGGACAGGGGTCACGCCGCGGTTGGTGGCAAAGATGACGATGGGTGCGAGGGTCGACTCGAGGGCGCGGTTGAGGAAGGTGAAGCACTCGATGTCGAGCATGTGGACCTCGTCGATGAAGAGGACACCCGGGACGAGCTCGGCCACACCCTGGTCGATGTACTGGTTGACGACCTTGTTGATCTCGCCACGGAGCTTCTCGGTGATCTCAGTCTTCTTGGGCTTGATCATCTGGCCGACCATGGACATGATATCCTGCCCACCCTGCGGCTTGGCGTTGGCGAGGTCGAGGTCGTGAAGCGTCACGTCCTGCACAATCTCCTTCTTCTTGTGGACGTTGCCCTTGGGCAGCGGCACGTACTCCTCGGTCTCAAGGTCGTGGTCGGTGGAGAACCGGTCGGAGCGGCCGACACGCTTGACTGAGCCGGACGAGGCCTCGATGTAGATGACGTCGCCGACGGCGATGTTCTCCTTCTGCATGGCCTCGTAGATTGACGGGTCGAGCTTGAGCTGCTTGGAGCCCTTGGTCGTCTTGAGGCCGATGACGACATGCGAGATGGTCTTGCCGTAGCCACCAAGCGGGTTCTCCGTCTCCTGCGGCGTGAGCTCCATCACCTCGCCCTCGTACACCTCCTTGGACTCCTTGATGCGCAGGCCGATTGCCCGCCGGAACGACTCCATCAGGATCTCGGTCGGCTTGACCTCGGCCGAGTACACCTCGGACGCCACCAGCGGAGCAAATGGAACCTTGGTCCCCAGCTCGGCGGCAATGGCCATGGCTAGCGCCGTCTTGCCTGTCCCGGGCGCGCCCGCAAGGAGCAGTGCGCGCCCGGCCATCTTCTTCACCTTGATCAGCTCGACAATGACGCCGGCCGCCTCACGCGCCGCCAGCTGGCCCACCAGCCCAGCAGCAACCGGCTCGGGCGTTCCATCGTCAGCCAGGCCCAGGCCCTTGATGTGCGAGTGCGCCGCCACCCGCTGCGACTTGGCCGTCGACTGCACCGTCTCGATCGCGATCTTGGACTGTCTCCACCCGTCCGCCCGCGCCCATTCAATGCCTGTCAGTCCTCCACCTTGCCCGCCCCGGCTTGCTCGCCGAGCCTTGCCAGCCGCGCCTAGCTCACCCGGCCCCAGCCCTTCATGATGATCACCTTCGAGAGGGGCGGGGGGGGGGGCAGGGCAGGGGAGGGGAGAAGAGGGAGGGTATAGCTGT